AAATTAGGATTTGAATGGTACAGGCAGGGCAAGTATAGAAATTGCTCCTTGGGCGGCACCTGTGGCTCAGTGGGTAGGATGCCAGCTGCATATACTGAGGGTGGCGGGTTTGAACCTGGCCCCCACCAAACTGCAACAAAAAATAGGCATTGTGGTGGGTGCCTGTAGTCCCAGCTACTTGGGAGGCTGAGACAAGAGAATAGCCTAAGCCCAAAAGTTGGAGGTTGCTGTGAGCTGTGGCGCCACAGCACTCTACCAATGGTGACTACAAAGTGAGACTCTGTGTCTAAAAAAAAAAAGAAATTGCTCCTTGTTGAAGCAAACGGCCTATAAATTAAGAAGGGAAGGAAGGAAGAAATGGCAAGTCAATTTGCTTAACTGAAGTGGGAAGTTTCTTAGGGTAGCGAACCATTATTATTCTAATAGAAATTTGCAGTACTTTTCAAATTCTTATATACATGTAATGTCCCTTGATGGTCAGAAGAAGCCTGAGAAAGGCTTTGGACTTATGGATTCCCGTTATCTTTCATTCAGCAAGCACACACTCGGTAGTGCTGGGTGCCAAGCCTGTGCTCTGTGCAAAAGCGTGATGAGGACAGGATTTAGGAGCTCCTGTCCTCAGGGAATGTTTAGTCTAATGGGGAAGACAGTGGGCAAGCAAATAAGCAGTGCATACAGAGGTCAGACACGGAATAGCGATGGGTAGGAATTTTAAAGCTAAAACACAGTGGTGGGAAAAGAGGGCATTAGCCCTTTCCTGACATGAGCTTACAGGGCCAGGTCAGGGATGGTGGTGGGAATCAAGCTCCTCTTCCCTGGAGTGGTCTGACCTGTGCTCTTCTAAGAGTAACGTTGAAAGGCTATGTGGGAGTCTGTGTGATTAGGTTTTTCAGGGGGCAGTGAGTAGATGGGGAAGGGAGGGAAGAGACTGGAGATGCCCACATGTTTTCAAAACTGACATCCGGAGAAAAACGTAATTAAGAGTATCTTTTGTCCCATCCAAGCCATCCTAATAAAGTTCATTGACTTTACATTTGTCAGACTCAATAAAGTAGAGAAGTTTCAAAATTTTGTTCTGCAAGAGTTGAGAGTTCTTGAGAAGGATATTCAGACCCTGGAACATCTTGAAAAGAATGTTCTGGTAAGTTCTTTTTGTTTGGAATGTTCTCTGTGATTTGAGAAGATCTTTTCCAGAGAAAAATAATTGCGAACTACTTAAACTTCCTTTTTTGTTTGTTTGGGATTCATCAAAGGGTACAAAGAATTAGGTTATACTGATTACATTTGTTCGGTAAAGTCCCTCTCATAATTGTGTCCCACCCCCAAGAAGTGTGACATACACCATAACCCCTGTCTCCCTCACCCCCTTACGTTCCCCTGCCACCCCACCTTGTATTAGCTCATCTCCTACTCTAATATTAGAATTAAGTACATTGGATTCTTGCCTCTCCATTCTTGTGATACTTTACTAAGAAGAATCTCAATCTAGGTTAATACAAAAGATGTAAAGTCTCTGTCTTTTTTAGTGGCTGAATAGTATTAAACAAACCTTTTGTTCAATTTTAGGAGTTTTGGGGGAAACAGTCTGCTGACCTGGAATCATTCTGTGATCTGCAAGTGCTGAGGTACTTTTCTAAGTGTTCTTTCTAGAAGCATTTTAGTTGAAGTACAAGGTAACACTTTGGCTCCAGTAAGGCTGTCAGTGTGGGTTAAACTCCCGTAGCTGAGGATCCCCCTCCTCGAGGATAGAGTGTGGCCAGTGGTATCCATGGAGAGTGATAAATTTTGAAAACTCTATTGAGATCCTCCAAACTTCTGTGTTTTTGATCTCCTTTGTTTTATTTTTAAGCAGTACAATATTTAAAAAAATTAAAATGTTGAAAAATGAAATTGAAAAATGTTTCAATTTCTGAGTAAACAGTTGATTTTCAGTTATATGCCAAACTATGTTTTGGCAAGATTATATTCTATATGTTTTATTTATAATATAGTTGTATATATTTTCAACATCTATGTGCATATTTTTTTAAAACAACAAATGGGTTTATCCTGCTACAGTTCCCTTCCTTGTAATTAGTCAGTGTACATCACATCCTGAGCTACTTGTTTTTTCCTGACCATTTGGAATATAGTCCATCTTCTGGGGCAGTGGAGAGTGGAGGCTGTTACCTCTCTGTTTCTGTCCTCAGGGAAGAATCTGGTGTTCTCACCCCACTTGAATTGTAAAATTTGTAATGGCTTGATCTTTATCTTCCAGATGAGAATCAGCTTCTTTTATAGAAATCTAACTCAGATGGTTTTAGAAAGGATATTGTTCTGGTTATGCCATATATTTTTAAAGCAAAAAAACAATTTTCAAATTTGAATTATCTATCCTATTATTTATTTCAGTTAACACAATTAATGAAAATGACCACACGAACCATTTTCAAAATCCTTTCACATACTTACCTTTCTGTTTCTCTTTGTGACTATATATGCTTGAAGGTGATGATGCCCTTTTAAAATATCTTCACTGAGTGCCCAGGGTTCTCAAACTTACAGTCAGGAACTCTTCATATGCTTAATGTTTCCTGAGGATCCCCAAAGAGCTTTGGCATATATGGGTTATATCTATGAATATTTTCCATGTTAAAAATCGACACTGAGGCTCGGTACCTATAGCTCAGCAACTAGGGTACCAGCTGCATATACCAGAGCTGGTGGGTTTGAATCCAGACTGGGCCTGCCAAACAACAATGACAACTACAACCAAAAAATAGCCAGGTGTTGTGGCAGGTGCCTGTAGTCCTAGCTACACGGGAGGCTGAGGCAAGAGCATCACTTAAGCCCAAAAGTTGGAGGTTGCTGTGAGCTGTGACAACACAGCACTCTACCAAGGGTGACATAGTGAGACTCATTCTCAAAAAAAAAAAAATAATAATTAATTAATACTGAGATTTCAAAAGCATATTTATATTATAAACCTTTACATATTGAAATAATAGATTTTTATGAAAAATAACTAGACTTTCCATAATAAGAAACATGTGAGAAGAGAAGCATTGCTTCATGGCTTTGAAAATCTCTTTAATGTCTGGTATGTAGACAGCAGCTGGATTTGTGTATCTACTTCTAACTTTAATCTGTTGTGAACCATGTAGCTTCTGGGAAATCCCACTGTACATTTGGGAGAAAGTAAGAATGAAAAAATCAGATAATGCCTTCATACTTTTACCATTACTAGCAAAATAGTTTGACCTCATAGAACCTTTGGTTGCTTAGTAGAGGGTGGGAGAGCAGGGATCCCCAGAACACACTTTTTGAGAGTGGTTGGTACTACGTATAAAGCAACACTCTGTTAAACATTGAAGAAGATCATATCCCCCAGTTTTCTGAAACTTGGAGAATTTATGTATTTTGACTGAATTTCAAATTTTAGGCAACTGTTTTTTCAAATATTGTATGAATTACTCTTCATACTCACCACCCTTTGACAAGAGGCCCCCGTGTGAATTTAGAACAGAGCAAAGATCAAGCATCTCTAAATATTATCTCCTTCAGGGTTTGCCTTTGCTCTCTTCTCTAACACTAATAAAATGCCCTTTGGTTTGCCAGTGAGGGATGATGGTGATTCTTTTAGCTTATCAATGCCTGGCCCTGGCCTGCATGCCTGATATGCAAGGGCCTTATGGGAGGTTCATTAGCTTAGCCAAGGTTGAACAGGTACCCAGTGTCTGTCCTTTTGTCATATTTTCATACCAGTAATGGCCAAACATCTCTCAACTGGATTACTTTAGCCCCTAGTGCAGAGCTACAAGGAATCAGGGATTCAGTGCTCTGAATGGTGGCCGTGAAAGACCTCTAAATATGTTGTGAGCCAGTGCTATTGACAGAGACAAGTGCATGATATAGAAGGTAGTGAAAATGTTAATCTCCTATGTTGATATTCTGGATTATTCCTCTTCTATTATCAAGTAATGTAATGATTTGTGAAATACCTATGATATATCTATGTATGTACATGTATGTTCTTATTTTAAAAGGGCCTAATGTGAATATAAGAAGAAGATATGGACCAGTTTCTTTCAGGCTGAATCCAATTCGGCCTTCATAAGAAGAGCCAAAGCCTGGCTTTATTATTGCAACACTCGATAAAGATTTCCATGGTTCAGTCGATGTGAATTGGGGTGGAGAGAAAAAAGTTCTAAAATAGCAGTTCTCAACCTTTGGGTCACAACCCACAGGAACTGTATTAAAGGGTCAGGGCGTTAGGAAGGTTGAGAACCACTGGTCTAAAAGATGTTGTAATTGTTTGTCCATATTACACTTCTGTACCTGAACTTCCTCCTCTTTCACAATCTCCCCCATCCCAGAAATTATCTGTTTGGATCTAGGTCCTTCATTAAGTATTTATAATTGAGCACTTACTTACCTTGCACCAAGCACTAAGCTAAACATGGAGAAACATGTGGCATTCCCCTCATCTGAAATGCTTGAGACTAGAAGTGTTTTAGATTTTAGAATATATGCAGAATAATTACCAAGTGGGCATCGCCAATCTGAAAATCTGAAATCCAAAATCTTCCAAGGACTACTTCCTTTGAACCAGCAGGCAGAAAAGTTTCAGATTGTGAAGAATTTTGGATCGCATATTTTTAGATTAGGGATGTTCCACCTGTTTAATGGTTAACACACAGATGTGTTCTTGCCCTCATTAAAAAATAAATTTTTGAAGGAAGACCGAAAAAATAGAAAATAATCACAGGTTAAATGTCTTAAGAGATTCTAGCAAGGTGCTTTGGCAGAGAGCAGTGGGGTGAAGTTCACTTGAAGATAGGATGGTTATCAAAGGTCTCCCTGAGGAAGTGATACTTAAAATGAAGTCTCAAGGATAAAAAGAAACTAGGCTTGTGGACAGTTTAAAGCAGTAGGGTTGGTGGGGGAGAGTTTGACATCTTTGAGAAATGGTGACTGTAAAGAGGATGGTTACTTAAAATTGGGAGCATGGTAGTCGTTCAAAGAAGTGGCTTTATTGATCATGTTGAGGAGTTTGCATTTTATACTGAAGATGAGGGAAAATATATGTGGGTTTTGAGCAAAGGCATTGTGGGTGGCTGATTTATATTATAAGAAAACTATTCTCACTTTCATATTGAGAATTGATTGGGAGAGTGAAGGGTAGAAGAGGTGAACCCAACTGGAAGGCTTTTGGAGTCCAAGATGGTGGCTCTCAGCAAGAGAGTAGAGGTAGAAATGGTGAAGAATGGAGAGACTCCAGATACATTTTGGAGCTAGAACTAATAAATCACTGATAGATGGAGGTAATAAGTAAAAGAGAGAGAATCAAGGATGTCTCCTAGGTTTCTGTCTTTAGCAATGAGTTGGATGATGTTGCCAATGAAGCAATATGGAAGACTGAGGGCGGATCAAGCCAAAACTACAGTTCATTTAACATTTTAACTTGCAGGTGTCTGTGCACATCCAACTTTTGATGGGAACCTGGAGAAACTGGACAATATTCAAGGAAAATACAATTTTACAAGACAGACTCCTGAATAGATGAGACATCTTAACAGGCAAAAATGTTCATACACATAAAAAAGACAAAGTTGTCAAAGTTCTGTTTTCCTGAACTGCCCAGCAGCTCATACCAAACATGCATATAGTCCAGATTGCATCATAGAGGACTTCTCCTAGTCCTTAAAACAAGGATGATTTCAGTGCTGTTAAAACTATTCTAGCACATAGAAGAATAAAAATTGCTCATTTTTTAATGAATCTAGCATTACAATTCCAAACTCCAACAAAAATTTCACGGAAGTGTAGAACAATCTCACCTAAAGTAACCAAGCCAAAATTCTACCAAAAAAAGAAAATAGAATTTAGAAGTTTATTTTAAAGAAATAGGATGTTGGGGTGGCACCTGAAGCTCAAAGGAGTAGGGTGCTGCCCCCATATACTGGAGGTGGTAGGTTCAAACCCAGCCCTGGCCAAAAACTGCAAAAAAAAAAAAGAGGATGTCATGATATAATGAGATATATTTATTCCAGGAATGCAAAGATAGTTTGACATTAGGAAATCTGTCATATGTTAATTACTAATAGTTCTATGGAGAAAAATCATTATGATTGCCTTTATGTATTTCAAAAAACATTTAAAAATTTATGTCTGTTTTGGAATTTTTATAAAACCTAATAAAATAGTAGCTCGTTACTCTGTAATACATAGTATGAGAAATCTCAGTCCAAAAGTCAGCATTCTACTTAATGGAGAAAGTCTAAATGCATTGTCACTGAAATCAGAATCAATGGATAGGAGACTCAATAACATAAAGGTGTTAATTTCTTCTAAAAAAGGAATTCACTCTCAAAGGCCTAACTGCACTTTTGGGGAAACTTTATAAGCTGATTCTGATATATAAGGGCAAGCAGCAGGCAAAAGGTAATTATGATGTGATTAAAAGACAAATTAGTAAAAAGAGCAATAGCACAAGTCCACAGCAACTGAAAGGGTTCAAATCTGAAATAAAACAGAAAGCGAGGAAAAACAATATCAAAGGCACAATTGGAATTTGCAATGAAATATAGAAATAACAGATTCATAGAGATCTTAAAAATCAGCCTATAAAGAACAGCAAGATGTCAATAAATTTGAAAATTTAGATGAAACATAACTTTCTAGATGAATATGCATTACCAAAAGTTAATTAAGAATCATTAATGAAATTAAATTGGTAGTATAAAAAAGCCCATCCTTCATTTATAAAAAGCATATCAGATCCTTACATTTTCATATAAGTTTTACCAAATTTATGAGGAATAAGTAATCCTAATCCAAATGATTCTAAAGAAGAGGAGAAAAGAGAAAGCTCCCCATTTCATTTTCTGAAGCTTCTATGCTCTTGATACCAAACAATGTAAGGAAAATCATGAGAAGACAATAATAGATCAGTCTCAAAAACTAACACAAATTCAAAAATGTAACAATTTAGCCAACATAATCCATAAATATTAAAGGTAGTGGGGTGTGTGGGTGTGTATCTGTATCTATGTATAGTGAGAAGGAGAAAAAAAATCAGAAGTAGGTATGTATCAGAACTCAAGATGGTTTAACATGTAAGACTCTCTTAATTTTCCTCCGTTAGTAGAATAACCACATAAATATCCCAGTAGACTCAGGAAACAAATTTGATAAAAATTGACCCATTCAAGCATAAAACCCAACCAAATCAGTAAAGCTATTAGAAAACTAGCAATGGAAAAAATATAAGTAATAAAAC